AAACTCAAATCCTTAATCCTTCTTTCAGTAGAAACTCAAATCCTTAATCCTTCTTTCAGTAGAAACTCAAATCCTTAATCCTTCTTTCAGAAGAAACTCAAATCCTTAATCCTTCTTTCAGTAGAAACTCAAATCCTTAATCCTACTTTAAGTAGAAACTCAAATCCTTAATCCTTCTTTCAGTAGAAACTCAAATCCTTAATCCTACTTTAAGTAGAAACTCAAATCCTTAATCCTTCTTTCAGTAGAAACTCAAATCCTTAATCTTTCTTTCAGTAGAAACTCAAATCCTTAATCCTTCTTTCAGTAGAAACTCAAATCCTTAATCCTTCTTTAAGTAGAAACTCAAATCCTTAATCCTACTTTAAGTAGAAACTCAAATCCTTAATCCTACTATAAGTAGAAACTCAAATCCTTAATCCTACTTTAAGTAGAAACTCAAATCCTGAATCAGTTTCTTGCGGTAGATAGTTTTAATCCTAAAACTATCTTTCTGTTGACAGTTCTAATTACTTAAATGCTGGCTTAATTGAGTAAATTGGAGAAGAGGAAGAAACACAAAACATTTTCGGTTCAGAAAAAAATTCGGCATTTCAGTTCATATACATAATTAATGTTTGTGTTCTCTTTTCTGAAGACAGGCACTTATTTGAGTCATGTGCTATTCTATGGATATTGAAACCTCGTATTCACTCCTCTGAAGACAGATCTTTGAGTCATGTGATATTCTAAGGACCTGTAGATTCTATAAATATTATCTAATCTCTAACTATAGACTTTAACTTTGTTTTATTCTTATACCGTATGTACATCTTGTAAAAACGTTGTCGAAACAGAAACACGTGTACATCCAAGTTTACCAAAGTGTTTACATGCAGTTATACACCGAAACACTTTGGGTTATATTTGACATTTACAGATGTAGAAAGTACAAACATGGCGTAGTGTTCCAATCTCTGTGGTGGGTGCTGCCACGTGGGTGTAAGAAGAAATTATTCGAGCGTGTATAGCAGTGGGTTAGTAATACGCTAAATTTATCACAGCCGAGAAGAGCTGGCTTTAAAGAAATTAGCTTGCATATTTAGTTTTAAAGTCATACTAATATAAATATATTTTGAACACATTTTATATCATTAAAGGCTGTGCAGTCACTTGCATGCTTACAGAACCAGCTTGATGATGTTGCAAATTTCCTGAACCAGATTCTTGTCTTAGTGTTGTATGTTCCAGGCTTATTCAATCAGATCTTAGTTAATAATCAGTTATTAGCTCCACGTTAACTAAGATCTGATTGAATAAACCTGGAACATACAACACTAATACGGTAGTCTGGTTCACGAAACTTACAACATTTAACTAAGATCTGATTGAATAAACCTGGAACATACAACACTAATACGGGTAATAAGTTATTAGCTCCACGATGTTGTAAGTTTCGTGAACCAGATTCCCGTATTAGTGTTGTATGTTCCAGGTTTATTCAATCAGATCTTAGTTAATAATAAGTTATTAGCTCCACGATGTTGTAAGTTTAGTGAACCAGATTCCCGTATTAGTGTTGTATGTTCCAGGTTTATTCAATCAGATCTTAGTTAATAATCAGTTATTAGCTCCACGATGTTGTAAGTTTCGTGAACCAGACTCCCGTATTAGTGTTGTATGTTCCAGGTTTATTCAATCAGATCTTAGTTAATAATAAGTTATTAGCTCCACGATGTTGTAAGTTTCGTGAACCAGATTCCTGTCTTGGTGCTGTATGTTTCAGATTTGTTCAATTAGATCTCTGCATATATATATATTTTTGCATGTTCTCGGTTTATGTGATGTTGAGATTTAGAACACTAACTTTACTAGCTGCTTTGAATGTATTTTTCCCTCTGCGTATTAATGCACTTTTTAACCTGTTAAAATGTCTACACAGTGAATGCAAGTTGTGAAACAATACGTTGTAACAAGGGAAGATCATGTTTGATGAACTTGAAAACTGGAATTCCTCTATGTACACGATGTCCGCCAACATGCCCCCTGGTGAGAACAAACTTTCAGTGTGCTTCTAGAAACCAGACTAACTTCAGCTGGTGCCAGATGATGAAGGAATCCTGCCGAACAGGGATCGTAGTGGGAACCAAAAGTAGCTTACTTTGTTCAGGTGAGTTAAAAACATATATATTACTTAGCTGACATAACTCGTGTTGAGTAAAGGACATCTAGTTACAAGATAAAAAACAACTACAACTCCCATATTTAACCCATGAAGGACAACGTGACGTGACTAGAATGATATCAAGATATGTACACTTCGCATCTGAAAGACAACGTGACGTGACAATATGATATAAGATGTGTACACGTGGCCTCTGAAGGATAACGTGACGTGGCTAGATTGATATAAGATGTGTACACGTGGCCTCTGAAGGATAACGTGACGTGGCTAGATTGATATCAAGATGTGTACACTCGGCCACTGAAGGACAACGTGACGTGGCTAGATTGATATAAGATGTGTACACGTGGCCTCTGAAGGATAACGTGACGTGGCTAGATTGATATCAAGGTGTGTACACGTGGCCTATGAAGGACAACGTGACGTGGCTAGATTGATATAAGATGTGTACACGTGGCCTCTGAAGGATAACGTGACGTGGCTAGATTGATATA